GTTGAGAGACATCAAATTGACGTGTCTATATTATTGGCTAATAATAATGTGGACAAAGAGCATGATGAAGAGTTTGAATTCGAGGACAATATCACATCAGATGATGAGAATGATATGGATGACGAGCATGAAGATTTAGAATAATGAACTATTTACTGAATGTGTTAATGAATATGTATTGATGAGAATAATGAATCATCTATTGGATGTGTTAATGAATATGTATTGATAATGTGATGCGGTGGGAGAACTGATTTGAGGTTTTGCGTTTGTGTTTGCAAATATTGCGGTTAGCAAGAGTCGCCACCGACTTTTCTTTTATCCAAAAAGAAAGGTAAAAAAGCACAGGAAAGACCTTTGAGATGTTTTCTTGAGTTCGGGGGGTAGATTATGAAAAGGGAAGGTGCTAGCACCCTTTTCATCCATGGTTTTCCATGGGCTCTTAGTTACTTGTTTAGATCACTTTCTTTGCTTTTGAAATGGTGCTTTGTGTGGTTTTGAAAGTATTTTGAAAAAAGGCCTTTGTTTTGGAAATTTTTGTAATGATTCTCGTTCGTAAGAATGTATACAAAGATGTTTGTCTTTTGAAAATATTCCAATGTTTTGAAAGTTGTTTTGAAATGTGTGTGTGTTTGTTTTTGAAAATAGCAAGGATTGTTTTGAAATTGATCAAGTAACTAGAAGTATTCTACCTACTCAAAAGTCTTTCTTGTGCATTTTTATTCCTTTGATATTGTTGATTTACCATTGATTTGGTAAACAACCCTATCTTTGGATGTTAAACGGGACGAGCGTGGGTCATCGTATGACCATGATAGCAATGTTGCCAAGTATCTTAGCATGTTTGAGGGACCAAGATCATCTTTGTTTAGGCAACCTTTTGATAGCGTCATCGAGGGACTATGATCTTATTTTGTTTTGTTTTTCCAAGATACTTCGCGTGCGTAACATGGCCATTTTTATTTAGGCAACCAAGTGGGAGAAACCCTAAGGGTGCTTGTGTGTAATGTGTGTCATTTTTCATGCATTTGTCTTGTATTAGGTCTTTTCTATTTGTTTTGTTTTTGGACTTTTCATACAAACCCTAGTTTACTAAACATGGTATAAATGCGATAAATTGCGTAAAATAAACTAAGCTATCACAACAATTATTATGGGAGGGGGGATACAAGTTTTTGAATGGGGATATTGCACAAAATCAACCCTAAAATACTATTACAACCCAATTGAATATTGTGTGCATTAAATAAATAAACAAGTATTTAAAATGCAATGCAAATGTATTTTATGTAAAATATGTTTTGTACTTGTTTTTTGTATGAGAAAAATGATTTATTTAAGCCCTAAAAATAAGAGAAAAAATATTATTATTTTGAAAGGGTGGAAACCCTAATTTTTTTATTAAAGAAAATATATGTTCTATATTAATTAGTTTTTCCATTTTTGTACTAGAAAATAATAAATAATATTATGTACAAATATTAAAAATTAAAATATGTATGAAAAATAAATATTTAATGTGTATAAATATTATAATAAAAATAGTAAGTATTTTTTATAATTTACAAGTTATTTTAAGAAAATAAAGTATAATATCCTAATAAACTATTTTTTATGCAAAAAATAATAGAAAAATAAAATAAAAATGCAAAAAATAAAGAAATTATTTTTATGATTTTTTAATGTTCAGAAAAATAAATAAAAGCAATAAATATAAAAAAAATGAGAAATTATGAAAAATATAACAAATAAAGTCAGGGGGTGCAAATAGTGGTTATGGGGGGGTGCAAAAATCAAAAACAACAAGCCCAAGGCGCTAAGGCCTAGAACTTCATCCCTGTCCTCCAGCTTCTTCTCCTTGCGCGCGTTTTTCTTCAAAACCTGTAACTCTCAGATGCTTGCATAAAAACAAAAACCCATAACATGAAACTTATAGCATTTAATCTCACGATTCCAATGATATAAAATTTGTAACCTAACTCTCAAAGATCAGGGAGAATTTTAATGGCCCTAAATCGTGACCTAAATATTTCAGCAACTTCAAGCTTCAAATTCTCTTAGCTCAGTTAATATAAATGACAAGTATGCATATGTACAGCTTCACCATGTTAAGGACTACATTTTTGCTTCACAAATCATGGCTTGAGGATGCATAAATAGAGAGATAGAGTTTTGAAAAATACCTCCTTCAGCTGGATTTGGATATGACAATGTGGGGACTTTGAGTGAGGCCTGAGGATCGTGTGAGCTTCCTTGAACTTCCTTCAAGCTATTCCAATGATTAGCTTGCTTTGTGGATGGCTAGAACTCTCTGTAGAAGTCAAGGTGCAAGCTCCAAGTTTGAAAATGGCAATGGCAGAAACAGGTGTTACAGCAACAATGTAAAGGCTGGGATAGCTTTAGTATGATGTGTGGAAGATGTTTCAAATATTAAAGGGCAAAATGCACGAGCCAAAATGAAGTTGGCAATGATTTTGCAGAACTGCAATGTTTTGGCAGAAATTTGTGTTTTTTTAGCTTGAGAGTGTTTTGGATGCTATCAATTCGTGTCTTGAGTTGTGACAAGTTTATGGATATGTATAGAATGGATACAAAGTCCACTCTTCATCAGATGTGCAAGCCTTTGGACTTTTGCAACTTTTCTTGCTTTTGAAGAAAAGTGAAGTGACCACACTAAACATACTTGTACTGGCTGGCTTGCTAGCTGCAGAGAGTTGGTATATATTGCTTGATATCTGTGGAAGTTGTTTGTACCAAAGGAACAAGTCCATGGCTCAAGGTTGATAAAGTTACAAAAGCTTGCCTTTATGAAAATAACAATGTGCCCTTTATGCCATTAATGGAATTATCTCTTGTACAATGTTCCAAAAGCCAAAATAAAGCCTTTATCTTCTAAGTTAGAATTAAATTATGGAGTGTAGAATGATTTTAGGACCTGTAATGCAAGGTACAAGCATCCAAGATCAGATTTGCAACTTGATACTTTGTGAAAATGGCATGAACAATAGTGATAAAATGCCAA